TGATCACCATTCTTGAACTTGGTGCTGATTTGGCTTCTAAGAACTTCTTACCATCCTGTTTTACCCTTCTTGATCACAGTACTTAAAAATCTCTGTTCACTTTCACAGGGAATTCCTGGTTTTAACTTGAAATGGCATAAAGTTGACATTTTGTTAGCGTTTTGTATGTTTGGATTTTGTAGTGTTCTGTTTTTAACTTTCAACTTGAGTTTTAAGATCATCAATCACAGGCTTTTCTTTCAAGTCAGTTGCACTGTTCCCAGTGGCAGGGCTTAGAGGGTCAGCATTTCCCTCATGCTATTAAAAACAAATTTAAACACAGAAATGGAATATTTCAGGAATTTGAACTCCGCTGCTCTTTTCATCACACATCTACATTTTGAAATGAACAAGTAAATTAGGTACCCAAGAAAGTCAGGCAGTATTCTCCCACTATCACCCTTTCCTCCCCCCCCCCCCTCTCTTTTTGGACAAAGTTAAATTATCTGTGGTATCTACAACCGACTGTTACATCAGCTTTGAGCAAGCCACAGTGAAGCTGATTGTAAAATTAATATTTTAAATACATTCATTTATTCAGACTATCTCTTTATTGAAATGTTTTCCCTTTCCCCTCCCCCATGACCCCTCCAGTCCCGGTTGTGAATTATTAAGAGTGTCCCTCTTCTCCCGACAGTCTGTAATTGTCACCAAATGGGGCTTTTGCCTTTGAGATGGCATTTGTTTTGTGGGTGTGTCTGTCAGTTGTTTTCATCTGACAAACACAACTCAGTTTGTTTATTATAGATTTCAATGAAGCAATGAAAAGAATATTTGACATATGAACTGATGGCCATTTCAGGATCTTTGCTCCCCACCTCATGTATCCCAAATTCAGAGAGAATTGGTTTAGCTTTCTCATTACTCATCATTCCAGTTGAGCCTGTTAACTTTGTTTTCAAAGTTTTGCTGCAAGGTAGTATTCTGTAATGGATAAATTAGAAATGTAAAATTTCCCATGCTTTTCAGAGAGTAGCTCAGTTTGAGCAGAACCTAGTCTGCTTTTCCTCCACACTGGATGGAGTACATTTCCTTGACGGGCCTTCTGGCCAAAGGAGAATTCAAATTGGGTGACATGCCTTCAAAAAGCAGGCTGAGAAGAGTCTATGAGTTCATTTCTAAATTGTAAATTTCCTCACGTGTCAGGTGCGCTGATTTCATAATTTTGGCTTATCCTTGGAGGCCTGGCATCTCCTGTGGCAGAGCTCTGTGGACGTTTTTGCTTTTCTTCCACACGGTGCAAACTGCTGTTTAATAGATGCATAATTGAAAGGTTTGTGCAACACTTCCTCCCTGCCCCCTCTGCTCTGATTTCTTCCCACATGAAGCATCGTATATTTTGTTAGGAAGAAAAACCCTTTTCGAAATTGCCTATTTCATAAATTGTCTGGTGACACAAAGGGGTTGAATGCTGTATTCTTGGCTCATTTATTTTGAAAACTTTGCCACTGAACTCACCTTAATCAATGAGCTCAGTGTTGTCTCCAATAAGTTATGTGTTGGCTGTATTGATTGGGAGGGATTTTAGAAAACCCGTCTGGGGTTTATAATGTCAGCAGTGTTTTGATTATGAAAAGAGTTGGAACCTGGGGACATGGAACCAGGTGGCGAATGTCCTAAAGCCAGTGGTGACATGGTGGACTGGTTCCCTCCGGGGATCTGGTTCATGCCCTGCACTTTAACTGTGGTGACTGGCTACTATAGATTCACTTTTTTGCTCATTAAAATCTTTAAAAAAACCAAACTGTACATAAAAAGATTTTCGAAAATATAAAATTAGGAATTGATTGGGAGAACTGGCACACTAGCCCTGCCTTAACAATGAGGTCATTTACATTTCATCAGCTGTGCTGCATCCTGAAGATCCAATTGATGTCGCAGGAGTTGAGGTTGTACTGACTGAGGCTGGTTGTCTGAAAACTTGTGCAGGCAACAGAAAGGAGGGATACAACAGGAAAATTGCCATCTACAAAGAAAGCCCCCTTGCCAAAACACAGGTTGTAGCGCACAAAGGGGGGTTGGTATCTGATTAATATTTTGTCCCTCATAAAGTTAATAAACAGATTATGGGGTCCTCTGCCAGAGATGAGCCCAAGCTTAGGAACAGGTGTGAAGATGGCACAGGCCTGGGTGCCCTTCTGTGGTTCGTACGGTTGCTATGAGCCGGACCTGGCTTGATGGCACCTCACAGCAAACACTGCCAGCGACACCATGCTCAACACCTCTGTCATCAAGCCTCTCCAGCCCTTGTCTCCTCGTGGCATTGCTCATCCTCAAGCACTTGGGATTTTGCTTAGAAAATGAGGATAAGGTGGTTGAATGTTTTCACATGTGTAGAAGGAAAAGGTCGGTATTAGGAAAGTTGGTTTATACAAGCAGGCTTTGTTTATAAAAAGCATTGCTTGATTTCCCCTTCTTCTTCCTGGTCTCCCTTCACCAACTCAGATGTGGACGGATGTCTTAGCTCTCACTGAGCTCATCTATGAATATGCCCAACCCTGAGTAGATGCTCATTTCTGTTTTCTCCTCCGACAGCATGCCACCATCTTGTTGGGCTTAAGTTGGAATATCAAGCTCTTGTATATCACCAGCACGAAGAAGCATATTGTAGTATACAAACATGTGCCTACATTTGCCTGTGTGTCCCACCCCCTCCCCTGTGCTTAATTAGACTTACCGCTGTTTCGTTGGGTAAAAAGGAAAGCTCTTGGGAAGTGGGTTATACTCAGCCTAGATTGGGTACTTTGTTATTTGTTCTAATATTATCTGACAGACAAGTTCAAGGTTGGTTATTACTCTTGACATTAGAAACTGGTAAGTAGTTTCTGTATTGTAGTGAGTAATACGTTGGGCATATTAGATTCCTTTGACTCTGCTGTAGAGCACAATGCTTTCTCATAGCCATGGGGGTCCTTTCTTTCAAAAATCTTTGAGGCCTTTTGCCAGTGAAGCTCCAGCATAGATATAGGAGTGCTTTCTGCACCTGTAACTTTTGAGGGGTAAAGGATAACCGTCTTTGTAGCTGAGGTTGGCAACGTCTGAGCCCTTGGTGCTGAGTTTTAAAGAATGCTTCATACACATACTGAAGTTAAGAGAGGCTTTGGGGTATTATTTGAAATTTGAGGCTGAAGGGAATATGTAAGGAACTGTGTGCGTGTGTATAAATTATTGGGGTACTATGTATATGAGTAAGAGTGTACTTTGTAACTGAAGCTACAGACATAAAAATTGATGTTTTATATGATCTCTTTTCTAATATTTTCCTTGTAGCATTATATACTGAGACATTGTCCTTATTTTCCTGATCCTTCATGAACTTTTGCAATTTATTTAAGCACAATTAGTTTTAAAACAACCTACACATGTATAGACTTCTGAATGCTACCCTGAAATGAACTACTACGTCTATAATCCATCCTTGAATATGCTGGGAGGTAATGTTTTCTTATCCACTCTTACTCATTTTTAAAAATTTCCTCTTCATTTGCTATTTGATGACATGCCTTAACAGTGCTGTGATGTACATAGTACCAGACCAAGATGATATTAAAAAATAGGATATGCTCAATTGAATTATATAGGCGGAACAAGCTCTGGAAGAACAAGTCAATGTGCTTTCTGCTTCATTGAGTGGGTTATTAGATTGATGTGGTTTATTTCTTGAATGATAGAACTGGTTTTAAAAATAAATGAAGCGAGAAGCATCAATTCTGTTAGCATTGATAATTCATTATTATTGGTTAGAAAAGTGCTACATTTGTAAGCTGATCTTTAATTTATCACTTGGATTAGGATTTGCAATGGGCAGGTTTGTTTTAATTTGAACCAGCTTTTCCATGGCTGAGAAATGTGTTCCTCATTTTGTCTGGAAGTTGGGATTTTAAATAGTTAGAGAGCAAATCCAATGCATAGAAGGAATACTTAAAAATAAAAGTATACTATTAACCTCTGAACTTTTGATAAGCACCAACTGAAGATTGGTCAAGTCTGCAGTTAAATTAAGTAAAACTACAGAAAATTCTACAAAGTAAGTAATAGTAAATTTTGACTCCGTCTTATGTTATGGGCATAGCTGCAGTATGTCTAGTGGGAAAAGGCACTCACCCCTGCATATTATGTCTCATATACCAGTTATTTAGACGTCTCTTAATGTTAGACGCTTGCCTTTTCATGAATAAGTCTTTGAAATGTCACTATACTTTCTGGGTTCCCAACTACTCCCGAAAACTGCTTGATTTTTATACACTTTCATATTTGTAGAAAGCCATTTGAACTGATAAATTTACTTTGATTTTTGATAAATTATAAGCAGGTAAGTGAATCCAACAATGATAATGATATTTTAGCTAAAATCAGCACATTTTAACAAGTGTTACAATTTGATTATAAAATTAATTTCAGGCAAGAATGGCAGGGAGTAAATAAAGTTGTAAACTCTGGGGGAAAAATTAGTTCATGCAGGGGCAATTTTCTTCAAGTTGGCTTTCTATTCTGCTTGTGATTTGGCCTCTTGATGTTAGGAAGCGCTGTCTAATCCTGGCCCCCTCCGTTCCTAGGTAACAGGCAAAACCGATGCCAGCAACAGCGGCCCTGCCAGGCCAAACCCATGTGGCTTGGTGTTATTCACTCTGATCCATATGGTCAGGCTGGAGATGGTCCCTGGAGGGGTGTTAACACTCAGCAACCCAACCGCCTCCCTCCCTTCAGAGCTTTCCTGTGTGGCTCCTGCTGCTTGCCCATGTGTGATTCTTGATTAATTTTTCATTTTTAATGAAGTTTGATCATGTTTATTATTTATCATGATTGACTGCCTGGTTCTCCTCCCATGTAATTGATAAAGCTCATATTTCTTCATCTGTCTCCTCTTTCTTGAGGGTAAAGTTGCTAGATTGTGTGCTGTGGTTAATGTTAGATTTATTGGTCCCATTAGATGTATAAATTATCTCTCTTTCTCTCCACAGGAAGTTCTACAGACTTTGACCAAGTTTTGTTTCCCCTTCTGTGTGGACAGGTAGTGTCAAATTTTCAAACTTTACTAGGAAAAAAAAGTGTCAATAGACCTGCTCTAGAAAATAAAAACTATACCATTCTTAACATTCTGTCTGTTTAACCATGATTTAAAACACCCATGCTCCAAGGAGAGTTGCAATATTTCCCCTGCCTGGGGATTTTATGGGCATTAGCAAAAAAAAGCTTAAAGCTTAGAGCTTTGCATCGGGTAGTTTGTGAGCTGTTTTGTGCCTGGTATTTAGTTTTTTATTTTAAAGATCAGACTCATACCATGATTAAGAATGGTTAGTATTTTACCCCAGTGGTATTTTATGTTTATTTAACTCTGAATATGTTGTACTTAGTCAAGTAACATTACCTGATTCCATGGTCTTATAAATGTGAGATAGATTTGCTTTTTATTCTAGATTTCAACTTAAAATTTCAATCCTACTTAAAGGTCTTAAGCATCTAAAAAGATAAATGGCACGTTACTCAAGAACGTGGTGCATTTTGTTTAGGTGGGTAAGAATGGTATCTCTAGGGAAAACAGAATTTTCAATCGCTTTCTAGACTAAAAAAATACAAAGCCATCTAAACATTTCTTTTGTATTTACATTATGATAAGCTATAACTTGAGACGTACAAATATAAGGACTCTGAAATAAAATAACTGGAGGGCTTTTAAAATGTAAACCATAGGTTAATGGGCAAATTTTTAACAGAGCTGCTGCTGTGTTGTTGTTGTTTTTAAACTTTCTATAACTCTAGTTGATTAATAATATGAACAGAATGACACAACCAACCATCTTTATCTCATTTTAAAGAGATGTCTGTGTTTTCCATCACATTTTAAGGAGTTTCATTATTTATTGTCAACTTCATTGTTGTCTCTTTTCAATCTATGAGGCTACACATGTATTACAATTGGGTGTTAGGAGCTTTTTTTTTTTAATACCATTTAAAATAATAAACCCTATGCTTTCCTCCAAGAAAATTCGCTTCAGGAAGGGTTTAGCAGGTATTTTAATGTGTGTAAGCAAGGCAGAATCTGAAAGGTTTTGGTGACTTAGAATACATATGGGTCAATATGTCACTGGAATCTTTTCTGTATTTGTGGTACCAGTGCCCTGGCTTATTTGATATTAACCTAAATAAGTCGTGAGTTCAGAATTGTCATCAAAGGAATTAAAAGAGTACTAAAAAATAGCCAAAAAGCAACTCTGGAATGTTGCCAACCATTTATAATCGCTGCTTTCCATGCTCCGAACACGGTTTTTTTCCAGCCAGACTGCCATTGTAGTATTTCCAGACCCATGCTCTTTAGCGCCTGGTACCAGGGATACTTTACTAGTGGATTGATGCTCAACATGGAATAGCCTTACCTTTAAGAGGGTCAATCTTTGTATTGAGGGTCCTCTTGTCTCTTCTGTATCTTTCTTCTAACAATAGTCAGGAAATAGGGTTTTGTTTAGAGATGTTTAATGCAAACTTCACATTTATATGTATAAATTAATGACACATGAAATTTCCTCTATAATACACTTATAAAATGTATTACAAATTATGGCAAGGGCATATTTTCACAAATTAATAAAGCTGAAATGTTTTAAAAGGTGGTTAGGTGCTTAGCAAAGAAAAATAAGGGAGTGCATTTTTACATGACTTTTTGCTAGAGTGGTGATCTATTTTGGATAGGTTTTCATTAATTGACTTTGTAAACTAATATTAGAACAAAAGCACACCGAGATTAACACTTTCCCCCAAGACCCATGCATATTACACACACACACACACACACACACACACACACACACCACCCCATCCCAACCCTGGCTTATTACATTCTGAAGAAGAAAAAAAGCGGGTCTTAAATGAGTTCTAAAATATATATCTATATCTACATCTACATCTATATCTATATCTATATTTGGGTCAACAATAATGTCTGATGCCTTTTCCTGGTAGAAAGATATTTTTCTTTTAAAATGCTTCTCTCCAAATAACCTTACCCTAATCATATATCCTTCCCAACTCCCACCCCACCCTGACCTCAAAATGATTTGGGAACAGGATTGTTCCGTTATGGATGTATTTCAGTCCTGGCCAGATACAATGGCTTTTTCTTACATTGTGTTATGTTACCCCTATGTCTGTTGATAACTTCTCATGATAACTCAGAACACTCTATCATTTGGGAACTGTATGTTTTCCTTCTGTTTCTGTGATCACCTCTAACCTGGCATACTTTAATGCATAAAAGATACTAACAATGAAGTTCATTTTCAATAAATTCAAAGGCTTTACTATCACGATGCCTTTAAAAAAATTTACTAGGTCACAGTTAGCACTTCCAAATAGATATGCTCTGATTCTGAGCCCCACAAAGCCCCCCAGGTGTGCTTATGATATGGTTTGACTTAGAAGGCATGCTACCAGGGGAGATGAGTAATGCCTCCAGGTGATTGTGTGCAAGAGAGAAAGCTTCCTAGTCTCTTCAGTATCTTTGCTCTCCTACCCCCAGGAACAATAACCCAACATTCTGACATTTCTAGTCTGTATCAGGAGTGGGATTTTCACAGTCATCATCACATCACTCGTTAACATTGACATCTTTGCTGTCTCTTGTGTTGTTTTAAGATTTACTTTGTGAAAACCAAGACTTATGAAAAATAATAATGCTTCTTGCTGTCCAAAAGAAAGTACTTTCTCACATATTACCTCATTTTATTCTCACATCATAAGAGACAAGAACCAATGCCGTTATTTCTGTGTGAAAAAAACTTAAGTTGCAGAGAAAGCATGACTTGCCCAAAGTCCTCGCAGGCTGTTGGCACAGGACAATTGTCTGTCTCCCAAATGAATGAACTTTTCAGTAGGACACCTGGAGGAAGGACCAATCATCAGTATGTATAGAAAGAGAGAAAATTTGTATTTGAGTTCATAATTGATTCTAGTTTCACCAACACGAGGAGCTGGAGGGTGGCTTGTCTCTCCCAAACCACAAAAGAACCAATAAAGATTCAGCATATGCAGGATTATGTTGGGTGGTATGATGGGTAAGGAAATGATACCAGGCTCGGGGCTCCGCCCCCATGTGTTTCTGAGCCCAGTCAAGGAAGCATCATAAAGCCACATTAAGCATTATTCATCTAAAATGATAATGAGGCTAGGAAGAAAGAAGTCAGAGAAAGTTCTTTAAACTGACTGAGGCTTGGGTTTAGTCTGCAAGTGTGGCAAGAAGTGCATGAGTGGAAGCGCAAACTAGAGGAGAACTCATGAATGTGCCTACAGATTGTTCCAGTGAGAGGAGCTGGAAAAAGGAGGAGGAGATCTATATGGTGACCACTTGGACTCTGGCTATAGGAAGCCACGAAAATATGTGGGAACAAGACCACTGGATTTTTCAAGCTGAAATTCACCATAATTGTAAACATCCCGCACACGGATGGAAAATTGAGATGCCTAGAGATGAAATGACTTGGTTTGGGTCACAATTATTAGTTGCAGAGCCAGGAAAGGGACATATGCTCTCACTCCCCGTTAAGAGTAGTTTCTACTTTACCTCGACCTTGAAAGTGGAGGAGAGTTGTTGAATAGCACTCTCCAAAACTTATTGTTGATTAAAGCATTGGATGGTGGATGCCAGTCCTTCCAATGTATGTGCTTATCTTCTTTCAGAACCCAGAAAATGAGCCACCACTCAGTTGTCCTATATGTGACACACAAATGACAGGAGCACTAATTGAAATGAGATCTTCTCAGTGGTGGCAGCATAATTTATTCGTGCAGGATGTATCATGGATGCAACTGTAGTTTAAGTGCTGGCTATCATTTTAACAGAGTTCTTGCATGGTGCATATGGTTTACACGCTGAAGAAAGGCCGGAAGTTAGAGTCCAGCCAGAGATGCCTCGAAGGAAAGCCTAGTGATCCACTTCCAACAACAAGCCATTAAAAACCCCATGGAGTACGTTTCTGCCCTGAGACGTACAGAAGGTCTTCATGAGACGGTCATCTCCATGGAGCTGTTCTCTATGAAAGGGCTTCAAAAAGCTCATGGGAAATTTGAATAGAAACACATGGAATTAAAAAAACAAACATTTCTTTGAGGGCTCTTATAACAATCCATGCATCAATTGTATCAAGCACATTTGTACATGTGTTGCCATCATTACTTTCTAGACATTTATTTTCTATTGAGCCCTTAGTGTCAACTCCCCTTCTCCCCCATTGTGTATCTACTATCTTTCTGGCTCTGTGCTATCTCTTTTCTTCCCCCTTTTTTAAAAATTGAGGGAGTTGGATTAGGTCTCTACAATTCCTCCTAGTTTTCATATTCTTTGATTCTCCAGGTAGAATTCTTGCTTATTTCGTAAGAGTCAGGTAGATGAACTCAGTGGAGAGGTCTCAGCTCCTCTTCGAATCATTCAGTGAGCTTCTCAGGCAGATAGGTGCTGTCCTGTATCTGGCAGTGTGTGACCTAGTGTTGGTCCCAGGTGTTTTGAATTAATGTCCGTCATACCATTTGTATCTTTGAGTGTGTATGTGAGAGACACACACACACACACACACACACACACACACGGACAGACAGACAGACAGACAGACAAAGACACACACACACTTGAAGTGTAGGCAGATGGGAGGTAGGTTTTAGAAGGGAGTTTTAAGGCTCAGTGTAATTGAGGGCTGGGAGATAGAATCGTTTGATTCCTACTAATCACCCCATATGCGCGGAAGGGAAGGACATGCAGCTTTTGGAGGTGCCCTGCAACCGATGGCTCAATAGAAAAGTCTTCTCGTTGCCATCGAGCTGATTCCAACTCATAGTGACTCTCCAAGACAGGGGACAGCTGCTCTTGTGGCTTTCTTCAACTGGCACTCCTTATGGGAGTAGAAAATCTCATCTTTCTCCCTCTGAGAGCCTGGTGATTTCAAATGGCAGCCCAACTTGTAATGACTACACCACCAGGGCTTCTAGATAATTGTTAGTAAGGTATCAATGGCATAGAATGAGGAC